TGCAGGAAGCTGCTTGCTGTTCCTTTCAAAGTGTCTTAAGTTTTTTCACTTATTGTGTTCAACTGCTGAGTGCCTTCCTGGATAAAAGTTCACAGTGTGAATCTCCATGCAACTCTTTGCTCTTTCCAAGTGGGTGAAGGACGCTAACAAAGCCTTGGATCTGCCATCTTCCACAGATTGACTTTATTGAAATCTTTACTGAAAGATTGCAACTTTACTGAATTCTTTTATAAGTCCTTTGAGTTTTTTGGTGGAGTCTTGAGGGTTTTCGATATATAAAGTAATGTGGTCTGCAGAGACAATCTGACTTTTTGCTTTTCAATTTGAATGCTCTTTCTTTCTTTTTTAGCCTAATTGCTCCGGCTAGGACTCCAGGATTAGGTTGAGGAGAGGCAGAGGAAGTGAGCATCTTTGTGTGGCTTCAGATCTTACAGGAAAGTTTTTGCCTTTTCCCTGTTGAGTGTGATGTTCTCTGTGGGTTTTTATTATACAGTCTTTATTATGTTGAGGTACATATCTCTTCCACCTAATTTGTTGAGAGATTTTGGTGTGAAGGCATGTTAAATTCTATCAAATGCTTTCTCTGCATCTTTTGAAATGATCATATAATTTTTGTCTTTCTGTTTGTTAATTTGGTGAGTCATATTTATTGATTTACATATGTTAAAATATCCTTGAATCCCTGGGGAGAATCTCCCTTGATCATACTGAATAATCTACTTAATGTGCTGTTAAATTCAGTTTGTAAGTATTTTCTTGAAGATTTTTGCATCTGTGTTTAAAAGAATATTAGCTGATAGTTTTCTTTTGCCTCTAAATATCCTAGAGAACCTCTTTCACTGCCCCTACTCATTCTATGGGAATACAGAGGATTGTACTTCATTTATTTAGATATTGTTCTACCTCCCTCTACAGTTAAAACTTTTATCCATCTGGAATGTAACTAATTCAGTTTAATTCAATCAAAAAAAAAATTAAGAGTCTGTGACTAAACACAAACAAGATGGGTATTGCCTCTGCCCTCATCAAGTTTAACTGGAAATGAAGCAGACTTTTAAGGTTAAGTAAATTAATTTTAATAGGTACTCTGCAAATTACTCTGAAAACATATGTAAGCTCTATCTAACCAAGCCTCTTGCTGCAATTCTCTTTAATATATTCTGTAGGATGCATTCTGTGACATGTAAGGAACTTAGATTGTCACCTAGATCATATCAAAATAACAAACAAAATCCAAAAATGTCTTATTATGAAAATAATTCATTTTCATTCATCTTTCCTTCTTTTCTAAGGTCAACATTTTTTACTTCAAGGAAAAGATATATTTTCTCTTTATACTATTTGTATAAGAATACACACTTAATTTATCTGTCTACTTGTTTGTTTATTATTTCAGACTAATATGAGGGTATCAATGATTAGTTAACATTGTTTGCATTTGTTACGTAAAGTTCTGGTTGTAGTTCAGCCCTTCACCCAGGGGTGTGCTGTATACCCTTACATTGTGTCCATTAGGTGAAGGCCTTACCAATACCCCCTTACTCCACCCTGTCTTCCCTCCACCCTGAATATAATTGTGTTTTGATTTATTATTTTTATATTAATATTGCATACATTGGATACTTAGTTTTTCATTCTTGTGATACTTTACTAAGAAGAATGTGCTTCAATTCCATCCAAGTTAACACAAAAGATGTAAAGTCTCCATCTTTTTATAGCTGAATAATATTGCATGTTATGCATATGCCATAGTTTATTAATTCATTCATGAGTTAATGGGAACTTGGTTGATTCCATGTCGTGGTGATTATGAATTGAGCTGCAATAAACATTCTAGTGAAAATATCCTTATGTTAAAATGATTTTTTTTCTTCTGGGTAAATACCTAGTAATGGGATTGTGGGATCAAATGGAAGGCTTGTCTTTAGCTCTTGGAGGATTCTCCAGACTTGTTTCCATAGAAGCTGCGTTTGCAATCCCACCAGCAGTGTCAAAGTGTTCCCTTTTCTCCACATCCAGGCCCACATCTTTGTGATATGGGCTATTCTCACTGGGTATAGGTGATATCTCAGGGTTGTTTTGATTTGCATTTCTCTTATGACTAAGGATGATGAGCATATTTTTCATGTGTTTGTTGGCTGTTTGTCTGTCTTCTTCAGAGAAAGTTCTGTTCCTGTCTCTTGCCCACTTATCAATGGGATCATTTGCTCTTTTCTTATTGATTAACTTGAGTTCTCTGTAGATTCTAGTTACCCACCCTTTGTCAGATTTGTAGCATGCAAATATCTTCTCCCATTCTCAAGTTGGTCTCTTCACTTTAGTTATTGTACCCTTAGCTGTGCAGAAGCTTTTTAGCTTGATTGTGTCTCACTTATTTATTTTTAGTTTTTCTGTAATTACCAAAGGTGTCCTCTTAATAAAATATTTTCCCAGGCTGATATTGTCAAGAGGTTTTCTCACACTTTGTTCCAGAATTTTTATCATTTTGTGTTTTAAATTTAAATCTTTTAACCAGTGACAGTCAGTTTTTGTAAGTGGTGAGAAGTGCTGGTCCAGTTTCAGTCTTCTAAACGTTCACTATCACCACTGCTATTCAACACAGTACTGGAAGTTCTAGCTGATGCAATCAGGCCAGAGAATGATATCAAGAATATTCAAATAGATACAGAGGAATGTCAAACTCTTGCTCTTTGCTCGAATACGTACTTTAAATACTTACCTGACTCTTGAAAATGATTATTTAAAGATTGGAATATCATGTAATCATATCAATATTTTGCTTTTTCATCAAATTTCTATAATCAGGTGTGCTTTCAATTCTAGGAAAAAGCTAAAAATCAACTTATCAACTGGCTTAAGACTTTATTAATGAGTAATGTTTTATAAGTAGGAGCTGACATCATTTCAAATAGATAAGAAGTAGAGCAATTTAAATTTAACATGATTCAGATAAGAACAAGCCTACGTAAACACAAAACAGAAATAAAAATATAATGAAGTTTTTACAAATTTCATCCCATACTAATGATTCTAAGAATTACACTTATTTACTAAGGATTCACTGTCACTTATTTCCAAATGTTCACATACCTAGGACCTTCAGGATGAAGTGCTTGCTGACTTCTCCAGCTTCATTTGAGGCAACACAAGTGTATCTTCCTGAATCTTCAGTCTCCGCTTTAATGAGCTGGAGGACCATTCCTTGAGTGTCGATCATCAGATGGTCATCAGGCTCCAGAGAAAGACTATCTCTAAGCCAGGACATGCTGGGCATTGGGGTTCCATCACTAATGCATGTCATAGAGGTGGAGCTGTCTTTGAGAACTGTGATTTCCTCTGTCCCCATTGCATTGTCCATATTTGGTGGCACTACAAAAAATACAAAATGGGTGAAATTTATGTATCTATTGTAATTTGAGATAAATTTAAATATAACATTAAAAAATTCTATAATGTTTCTATGGTCAATAAATATCTATATTTCAAAATAGCATATAATAAATACGATTTTATTACAAAACCATTCATTAGGTATACTAATTATTAATCTTCCAAATATCAGCAATGAAACCTAACAATTATTTTCTTATGGAACATACAACTAATGTGTTTTAAATTTTGGTGATTCTTCAACTTCTTAGGTTTGTCAGTTTAGTTTTTATAATGTATATAATAGTCATAGTAGTATTCTTGAAATACTTTACATCAAATGATTTCAAGTTATAGAGTAAATTTTATATGATTAAACCTAAATCATTTTTAGATTATAGCCAATAGTTCCCTAACTATTCTGGAATGTTCTTGGGGGTTAACAAATTTTTATGAGCAAACCCCAATATTTCAGAAATTGAAAGTTTTAAGTTCTCTCTCCAGAGACACATACATGACAGAGACGTGTGTGTATTCATTTATATTTTAAATATTCTAAATAAGCTGCTCAGATTATTCGAAAATAGTCTTGACTTCTTTGTATAAAAGATTGGTCTTGTGTCTGAACTGGAATGTTATTTTAAAAATTTACATTTGATTTAGTGCAAGATTCCAGGTTGGTAGAGTATTTTGACAAACAGACATTACGATCCAATAATATAGACCCCTTGGGAGAAAACCTATTTTTCTCTGGTTAGTAAGATCCTACTGTACTCATTCTTTTTTGACAGCAGAAAGTCATATTTCTAAATCCACGAGGAAGTCAATTTTTAAATACAAGCCAGTTGCTTCATATTGCATGCATAGGAAAGCAGAAGGGTCATTGCTGTGACCTACCAAGTACTTGCAGATCGTAATGCTTATTATCCACCCCGGCTCTGTTGGAGGCCACACAAGTATACACAGCAACGTCAGATAGCTGAGCTCTCACAATCCTAAGAAACAGTTTGATTTAACATGTCATCATTTATCCAACACACATAAATAAAATATTTACAATTTATAAATAGATTATAGAAGGTTATTTATGTGGGAAAATTTAATTACAAAGCTTGTAACAATCTATCACAAAAGTACAGATAGCTCAAATAAAATTTGTTTTTTAGAGTTGATTAGGCAGTGACTATAAGGCACCGAAAATACAGCACCATCTGGGAGGTGACTATTTTTCAAATACCTATTAACAGAGAATGCTGCTCAGAGGAAAACCACATGGTGTTAGCCAGCATCTTCCTACTGTTTTGCTACCTAAAGTTTTAGCTAAAATACCAGTTCATGGAAATCTACATGGAACAAGTCAATGAAAGACCCATTTTATACACATATACTAAAACATAACCATTTAAGTACAGAAAAAATTTCATATTTATGTTTGTTGTCTTTTTACAAAAAATATATGGAAAGGGGGAAAAACAGTTAAAGCTTAGGAAGAAGCATTTCTCAAACACTGTTTAGAAGAAGGAATAATCTGCAATACCAGTGACTTTGTCTAGGAAATAACACGCAGTAAACGCTGACCTGATAACCTGCCCTGCGGCCAGCAACCGGATGTGGGAGGAGAGAGGCAGAGGGAGGCCATTCTTCAGCCAGCTGATCTGTGGTGGAGGCATCCCTGTAGCTCTGCATTCAATATTTATTGACGTATCCACCAAAGCCATTAGTTTCTCTGCTTCTTCTTTATTACCGTTAATTGTAGGTGGAACTATTTTAGGGAGAAAGTGAGAGACAGAGAAAAAGTGGGTATGTTACTATCATTTACGCTATAATTATCCTTATTTCTGGTTTGTATCCCACAAGGAAATAGCGGTGCCATCGGATTTAAAACTAAGTGCTCCAGACATCCGCAGCTGTACCTTCATTTCTATGACAGACATGAGATCTGACAATTAAATTCATGAATTCATCCTAGAATAAGTGTTACATACCTCACTGCTGGATATCACTATGGTCCGCTTTGAAGCACTCCCCTGGGGGAGCTATGCACTGATGCCAGCACCTAGTCCCTTTCAAAGCAATTTTGGAAGTCTTTTTCTGGAATGACCATCAAAATTGGTATTGTATTACCTTTGATGTGCTGAATGCCATTAAAATGTCTTCCTTTCAATATTTCTTTTATCTTCAGGTAAAGAAAAAAGTCACTGGGGGCCAGATGAGGTGAATAAGGAGGGTGTTCTAATACAGTTATTTGTTTACTGGCTAAAAACTCTCTCACAGACAGTGCCATGTGAGCTGGTACACTGTCATGATACAAGAGCCACAAGGTATTGGCCAAGTTAAGGCTTGTTCTGTTTCTTTCTTGATGTTTACTTGGTCTACTATGCTTCTCACAGTCAGCTGATGATTCTGACACACAATTCCATGAATTTTTGCAATGGTTTCGTTGGTTCTGCTCATTCCTGGCTGCCCTGACCTCTCCCCATCAGTAATGATTTCTCTCCCCTCAGCAAAACATTTAATCCATTTATACACAGCCATTTTCTTCACGGCTTTATTCCCATAAGCTTAGAATAACATATGTCTGATTTCATTTTCGTTCTTTCCAAGTTTAATAAGAAATTTACAAATGTTTGTGTAGTGCTCTAATCCACACTCCAGCATTCTTACAATAGCACACACAAAATAAGAATGAATGCCACTCAGCAAGAAACTATCACACATTGACATGAACATAGCTGTGAGATATTGATATACAGAAGTTGGGGTGGTGCCTGTGGCTCAAAGGAGTAGGGTGCCAGCCCCATATGCTGGAGGTGGTGGGTTCAAACCCAGCCCCGGCCAAAAACAGTAAAAAAAAAAAAAAAACAGTAAAAAAAAAAAAAAAAGAAGTTATGAAACCTAGGCCAAGTGCAGTGGCTGATGCCTGTGTAGCCCTACCATTCTGGGAAGCCAAGGCTGATGAATCATCTGAGCTCAAGAGTTCGATTGAGACCAGCCTGAGCTAGAAGGAGACTCCATTTCTGCTAAAAACTAGCCAGGCATTGTGGCAGGTATTTATATTCCTAGCTACTCAGAAGGCTGAGGCAAGAGAATCACTTGAGCCCAAGAGTCATAGGTTGCTGTGAGCTACTACACCATGACACTCTATCCAGGGTCACAGAGTAAGACTTTATATCCAAAAAAAAAAAATTATGGAAACTTACCAGACAGTTTGTACAGTGCTGCTAATGTAAGCACACAGTGACAAGTTCATGAACTTAATTGTCATACTTCATGCTTAAGGTAGCCTGGTCAAAAAGGTGATATTTCATATTTACCATAGACATTCAAGTTAAAAATTCGGTCTTCTTCTCCAGCGGGATTAGTAGCAACACATGTGTATTTCCCCATGTCGGATGTGATGGCTCCATAAATGTTTAATGTGCTGCCATTTGCAGTCACCCTATGAAAAACGTCAGAATGGAGGCACTGAGATGATGAACGTGAAGCTAAGACCTGGAAAACTCATTCCCAATTATTGTGTTCTTTTAAAAACACCACCATAAAATGATGCCTTCATAGTGGATATATGAATATATTTCACCTACCACATGGAAGCTTATTAAAATCAGAGCTAGTGAAGCTGATGGAGTTTTCAGGCAACCAATGAAAATTCTACATTTATGGGTCTCATATCCACCTCCTCTTTATGAGAAAAAGGAAATTAACAAAATTGCATTGGGAACTTCTATAGCTAAATCACAGGCAAGGTCATGTTTTTCTCAGAGCTAGGATCATCAATATAAGGTTTGAACTAAATAAAAGTTATAAATAATTCTGGTATAAAAATTGAAGACTGTTGGAGATAATGAGAATCTGAAGAAATTAAACATCAAAAAATATAGCTATGAGCAACTTAGTAATACTTTAATGAGAAGGAGTAGAATAGGGTAATTTAGTCAAACTGTGACAACAATTTGGTGTCATGTACAGGTATCTTCTGCAAAAACTTTTCTATAAATTGTGAAATAAATAATATATAATGGTAAAAGATAAAAATATAATTAGGATAGCAAAGATATCTAAGTTAAGATTATTTCATTATTGCTTGTCTTCATATTTTAATTGCTAAACACATTTTCCTGCTTCATGAAGAGATTAAATTGCTATCTATAATTTTTTACACTGTCTACACTATTTTTACAATAGTGATTTTATTAGAATATTCCACTGTCAAAAGGAAATACTCCATTTCTACCATATCGTGTTATTAAATATGCTTATTGAAGATTACAATAACATTATTATCTAAGACTAGTTGCATTGTTTCCTTTTCAAAATATAAATTTAAAAATTCAGAGAGTTTAACTATATTAGTAAGCAAAAAGCAAGTT